TGATATGAGTAACATCGAAATGGTTAAAGAAACAATTCTTGAAAATCGTCATGTTGGCATCAGTGTGATGGCAGAGGATCTCAACATCTCTTATGGATCGACTCAACTACCATATTTTGGTTAATGTTTTGGGTATGAAGTGTGTCATTGCTAAACTCGTACCAAAAGATCTGAATCTTCAACAAATATGGTATGACATCGAATAGAGATCACAAAAGACATGCTTGAAAACGTTGCTGAGGACCATACAAACATCAAACACATCATTACTGAATTCGAAAATCTGCAACAATCTTGCCAATGGCGCTACAAAAATGAGCCGAAACCGCAAAAAACAAAATTCTCTAAAGGCAGCAGCGAAGTTTATAATAAGTCCGCTAAGTCTATTTTACCAAATGTAGGGTGTACATGTAGAAGTTGTTAGCAAATATTAGTTAGCATTTATATATAGATGTCTTGTGTTTATATGCATGTGTGTATATGTGTAACACTCCACTCGTGATACTTATACTGTCGTCTGGCAATTCGTTTACAAAACGTTTTACGATTGTGATGAATTACCACACCACTAATCTTTTGATGATTTTTTTTTGTAAAGTTAATCAATTGAAGCCAAGATTTATGCAGACATATGTAAGTATGTCTCTTTTTCTATGTATATTTATCAGTGAATGAAAAAGCTACTCCCTGCGACCTTGTACATACTCGTATGAAGTTGGCGCGTTGTTGTTCGGCACACTGTTTCATACATAAAATTTACGAAACTAAAATACTTATATATGTTATATAGGGTCTATTTAGTTCAAATATGCACCGTTTTGTTCGATAATTTCTTGACATTTTGAAGGTACAATAATTTCATAATGCCACTCTCATAAGCACCTTTGTCCCAATTGGCCAAATAACTTGGTTAGTCGATTTTGACAAGTGTCTCATGAGGCGAATTTTTCACCAACAAAATCATTCGCCATAGACAGAAAGAGGTAGTAATTAATTGGGACGGACTATTAGCCAAACTCCCGTTGCTTCTAACGAGTCACTAACAATATGTGTGGTCTGGCGTTGATCCTTTCCAATTGGCCAAAGGAACATAAACCCTACACACATTATTAGTGCTGGACTTTCGTTTTCTCCAGGGATAAAGTTCCAACAATATTGAGCCAAGCCATCACTAAACTGTCTGAGCAGTTCTTAGTACGAAATCTTGTCCTTCCAACGCTATATAGGCTAACTCGATCGCATTTCTACAACGCGAGATATATTTTACTAAAGTCTTCTGTTGGAAAAATAATTGTTTTCTTTTTACTAATCCTTATACTTCGTACATACCAGCAGTTTTAAGTAGAATCCGAACGGCTGCCAAAGTTCCAGCTCCATCTTCTTCTTGTCAGAAACGCAATTGGCGGTTTTTATTGTCTGCTAAAAACTGAACGTATTCTAGAATGTAACTTTAACCCGTTCGACTTTTAACCCAGCAAGCAACAGTCGCTCACTCAAGAACTTTGTTATTCTGCCTAATAATATCGGCTTTTTCTTTTCATTCCAAGTATTCTTGTTTTTCTGTCGTTTTTTATACCCAGAACAGGGTATATTAAGTTTGCCACGAAGTTTGTAACACCAAGAAGGAAACGTCGGAGATCCTATAAAATATATACATAAATGATCAGCAGATGAGCTGAGTTGATTTAGTCATGTCCGTCTGTTTTTTTTTTTTTTTTTTTTTTTTTTTTTTTTTTTTTTTTTTAACAGGGTTAGATCGCCGAAATAACAGCCCTTGGCCGGATAAAATCCGGGTCAATTCCGGTACCGCAGAACCGGCTGTTGTGGGGATTGTCATGTCCGTCTGTCTGTATATATACAAAGTAGTTCCTCAGTTTTTAAGCTATTGATCTAAAATTTTGCACCTGTTCTCACAAAAAAGGTGCTCATTTGTCAGAACGGCCGATATCGAACCACTATAGCATATAGCTGTCATACAAACTGAACAATCGGAATCAAGAATTTGTATGGAAAACCCTTTCATTTGACGAGGTATCTTCACGAAACTTGGCATGGATTATTATTTAAGGCAATAATCTAATCGCCAAAGAAATTATATAGATCGGATGACTATAGCATATAGATGAACGATCGGAGTAAAGTGCTTGCATGGAAGATTTGTTTATTTGACGAGGTATCTTCACGAATTTAGGCACGAGTTATCGCTTAAGGCAACAAATTATTCTCCGCAGAAATTTGTCAGATCAGATGACTATATCATATAGCTACCATACAAATTGAACGTTCGGAATCAAGGACTTGTAAGTGGCCTTTGTATTTGTGAAGGGTATTATAGCTTCGGCGCAACCGAAGTTAACGTTTTTTCTTGTTTACATATAATAAAAATATTAAACATAAACGCAGGGAAGCATAAGAAAAAGGGTTATGTTGAAGTATTCTTTCTATCAGTACAATTACATAATAGTATACAAGGCTACATTAACGTATGAGTTTAACTACCATATATTGCTTTTGTGTTGAAATTCAAGGTTACTTCAATTTCTGCAAGTGCCCACTTATTGTTAAAGCTCTTTTCACTTATGTCGAATTAAATGTGGTTTAAGAATTATTTGATCATCTAAGTATGCAAGAAAAACATGCTATTTAAATAGATTTGTATACGTGGACCGCAGCATACATCTTTAAATGGGTACGAACACATACACGCATATATTTACATACACATGCAAACGTGTATTAGTATATATGTATATGAAACGAGTCGACCCCATATTTGCAAATTAGTGAATAAACATAAAAAGGGAAATTTTTTTTTTGTCATTTATTCTAAGAATTAATTCCCACATACCCCTTAACGCAATATGAGTACACTCTTTCTATAAACGAGCGAATCCCAAATACCGAATTGAAAAAAAGCTTTAATTCCAAGTAGCGGATGGGAAAGAAAATGTTAATCCCAAGTTTATAATTAAATATTAAAAAACAAAAATATTTTTGAATTTACATATTTTCCAGCCGGCGTACTGCGTGTTCAAATATTTTGAACAAGAGCTCGGACAGAGCCATCATATTCAATAATAATGCTCCAGTGTTCGGCAAACTTACACATCCTAATGAATTACATTTTATCAATCTTAATTATAATTTTGGATTTAAAAATTAATTTTTTTATTAAATTTACTTTTTTATTTATTTAATTTTTGCAAAATTACACATTCAAATTACTTATATTTTACAATTTTTAATTCTGATTTTGGGACAAAAAATTAACTATAATTTTTTAATTAATTAATTTTATTTCATTTTGTAATTTTTAATTCCGATTTCGCAATTAAAAATTAAAATTTCAAACCTCAAATTTACATTTTCAAATTAATTAATTACGATTTCCAATTCTAGGTTCCGATTTTGTGATTAAAAATAAAATTTTCAATTTTTAATTGCGATTTTGAGATTAAAAATTAAATTTTCGAGCTGCAAATTTAAAATTTTCAAATTAACTAATTGCGATTTAGTGATTAAAAATTAAATTTCCAATTCATAATTCCGATTTTGAGATTAAAAATTAAATTTTCAATTCCCAAACTTCGAAATCAAAAATTGAAATAAAAAATTAAGAATTTAGTTTTGAATCCAAAATTTTTTTATTCAAAAAAATCGCCACCCTGCTTTCTTTATATAAAAAATTGATACATACATATGTATGTGCAGTATATAGTGTAACATCTCCATACATTAAAGCTTTGTCCGTTTGGCCACTGTAGGGCTGCAATTTGAAATTTGAGAATCGGAATGCGAATAAATTTGTTACTTGTGCAGCGTGGTGGTAATTGTTAATGTATAAAAAAAATTAAGATGGACAGATCCGGTTTATATATACATACACACTTTCATATATACATATGTATGTATGTACATAAGCATATACATACACATAATATCAGCTTCTGCTTTAGTACATCGGCATGTGTATGTATGTATTGTACATATATAGGGGATGTGAACAGAAAAATATCTGTGGTAGCCAAAGGCATATAATATATTAATTTTGTAAAAAAAATATACAATTTTACATATTATATTATGTATTTATGCAGCAATAACAGCGCAACGGGTTGCAACTTACGCTCTTATAAATATGTGTGTATGTGTGTCACCCTTAGATGATCAAATATAGCGCACACCCGCTGGTGGGAACATACAAAGAACCGGAATAATAAACTATTTATAATGCATGTTTAGCATATATTTTATTAATATTTTGGTTGTATTTTTCATTTTTAAGGCTTTAAAGTTATTTATTATTACCTCATAATTACATTTTTAAATTGTAATAGAAATTCGGTTTTTGACATAAACCGCTGCTCCTTAGATACACACAACAGGTTTGAAGAGACAGAGAGCTAGACAGAGAGATCACTACTAGTGCAGGAGTATATAGAATGGCTGAATAGCCTACCACTGGTGTATAGCTGGTCACAGGGGTATAGCCGGGAGTGAACTGGCTGACGAGCTGGCCCGCTCTGCAGTTTCCACCAGAATGGTAGGACCGGAACCGTACATTGTGGAGCTGCTCCGTAAGGAGGAAAGAGTAGGCAGGGAGAGGCATTGGCAACATCTCCAAGGCATGCGCCATATCATCAAACGACCACAGCAGGTTTAAAAATTCTTAAACCATGTCAAATTTCTTGAAGATAACTTATCAAGTAATAAAGTTTTTCATACAATAACTTAATTTTGATAATGTATGCCAAATTACGTGAAAATATCTTGTCAAACAAAGTTTGTCTTCCAAAACCTGATTTTGACCGATCAGTTTGTATGGCAGCTATATTCGATATATATGGTGGTCCGATATCGACGATTCCGACAAATTAGCAGCTCCTTGATGAGAAAAGGACGTGTGTATAATTTCAGCTCTATCTGTCAAACGTTCCTTGAACTCACTAAATGCTAAAACAACCCAACACATTAACACACATTAAAAGTCAATTTTAAACTTTAAGAAACAAACGCCGATTCTATTTATTGTATTATTGAAATCACAAAAATTGTTATATAGTGTATTTCTTCTTATTTTGTACATCAATAAAAGACGCATGCATTTGATTGTAAAAATTATAAGCCTACTATTTCATAAAGTCTTATAACTAAAAGACACTAGCCAATAAAATTTTCGAATTGTAAACATGCTGAGGGAGCCTAACCGCTAAATCCAGAAAAAATAGGAATATTTTAATTAAATACATACATACATTTAATGAATGGGTAGGGGAATATATAATATAATGCTAAATTAAGCGCGAAAATAATGGATTAGACTCAACTGAATATAATCCGAATGTGTACTTAATAGTAGTAATACGAGTATATAAGATTTGTGTATGTTCAAAAATACAAAATATTTGCAGATCTTGATGGCTTTCAAAATACATATATGGCAATCATGATCAGGTTACAAATACCTATGCTATTGAACAGGCAACAGGCAGGCCGACACATGCCTTTTTCTTTTATATTTACAAATTAATAGCCATTTGTACAACAATGGAGATTTCCATGTGGATACACAAGGGCGAATTACTGTTTAATTTAACTATTCTTACGCGCATAGTTGGTATTTCTATGAAACAGTGAACGCAATTATTAAGAGTATTTACTGTTTTTTTAGATTAGTTTTTAATTAAATTATGGCAGTGCAGCACGCCCGAGATCTTAACAATAGCAAAACGTGGTGGGTTACTGGTCCTGTTGATTTGTTATACTTTTTATTGTAATGCATGATTATTGTTGTATTGGTCGGCGAAATAGTAAAATATGTGGTTCTGGTTTATGTATCATGTAATGTATCCAACCGCGAGATTGTTGCACACCAATAGACCGCCATTCATGCTCCGACATTAGATGCGTTTTAGGCACCAATTTCGAAAGTTCCTTTGGTAGTACAACATGTCTTTAAAATAATATAAGAAAAAACATATGTTTATTAAACAAAAAACAACGAATTGCCAATAACAAAATTATTCACCTATATTCGAATTTTTCATCATAGTATTTATCCGAATAGTAAATGTCCTTGCTCATGGTGGTTGGCTTATGCGAATTTTGTAGATACCAACAAATGAAAGAAGTTCTTCACGTTTTTTGCACCTGGTGCAGATGTTCGGGAACCGGTAATCCTTTATTAAATTGTTTCGACGTTAGTTTAAAGGCGCAGAATTCGCTTTACACAAAAACAAATTTTTTCGATTGTATTCGTTTACCTTTTTGTTTTTTTTTCAATTGATCTAAACTTTTAAAATGTTATTTTAGCAATTTTCGCGAAATATACCCATATAAATGCCTCTTCCTCTTGCTACAAAATCAATCAAAATCCGCAAGGCGCTAAACTTGTGTCGATCGTTTTATTTTCCGTTTGAATTTGTTATTTCACTTATTTATGGTAAAACTGCATGCATAAAAGCGAGATAGCCATTTTAAGTGATGCGTAACGTTAGCGACATCTTTGGGCGAATTTACATCAGCACAATGGTAGTGTTCACTATAATGGCGCAATAACAGAGTTGCAATGAACCTACTTTTTTATTTAATTATTTTGATTTCTTCAAAGCAAGTCACGGCTACCGAATTTGCAATGCTTGGAAAGAATTAACACTTACACAATTCAAACGACATATGGCTAGCAGGTTTTTTTGTAGAGCAAAAAATTCCATAGAAAAAACCATGATTTTATTGGCAATTTGGGACATTTTTAGTAATGTATGAATAAAAAGAATTCATTTTTATTTATTGTCAATTTATGATTTATATGAAAGAAGAATATTTTTATTACTTTTTTATTATTTATTAGTAAAAATATATAATGAAAAATTATTTGCATTGTAACAAGCAATAAATTGAGCATAAAGTATTTTCATGAAAGTCAAAATTTACACATGTATCCATAAATATATTTGTTAACTTGAAAATTGACAGTTCGTATTTATATATAAATAAACAATAAATCTTGATTGAATAGATCTAACAACCAAATAACAAATATGATGACCAAAACATTAATTTCTAATCAACATATAAAGAATAATATTTCAGTATGCTTAAATTAAAGATTATTTTCGATAGTTTTGAACATTACCTATTTTGCTAGGGAATGTTGAATAAAGGTACATATGGATCTACATACAAAACATAGAATAAGCTTCAAAAAATATAAACATATAAAAATAAATGTTAAGCTACAATGCATCACAAAACCTGATCCCAGTTTTATATACCGCTGTTTTAGTTTCTTATTACTTACGTTGTTTGCGCATATTTAAATTCGCATAAAAAGTACTGATTCTGTATAATATTTTGCGCAAAGTAAAGCTATGAAAGAAAATATAGTTGACAGATCGTTCTTATCCAACAAATGTTAAACTTCATCCAGTAACGCCAATTTACTAAAAGCAGTTCAAGCTTTAGAAACATACACCTTCATATATTGTTAAATTGGAATATTGATGTTGTTTTTCTCTCCTTACCATTGTAATATTTCTAGGGTGAAATCTGCTACCTTGTCATTTCGCATGCTCTTACTTCCGACGTGGTGCTGTCACTGCACGTGATAACCTTCCAATCACGAAAGGCCATAGCACTAGTAATGTAAACCAAAGAGGTGAAATATCAGCTAACGGCCACCATTTCGGGTAATTACGGCCTCTACTCTGGTTTGTAGCTTTCTGCGCTACAGTTGTACGCATATCATTCAACAATTTTTCCAAGCTATTCATACGTTGGTTAACTGCTACTAAATCGGCATTCATACGCAGCACAGTTGCTTGAATTTGTTTAAGCATTTCAGAATTGTGCTGCATTGTTTCGGTAATGTCTATATTCATATCCACCGGATCGCCATATTCATCATCAGACTGATCCACAGTGCCGTTAGACATGGCATAGGTGGAGTGTGTCACAGGTATTTCTGGTATTGCAGAAACTGTAGAATTTGTCTGTGGTGCGATAATTCCATCGCGTTCATTTGTGCCATTTATTAAATTATTATCAGCGCGATGATTATGGCTTAAGACGGAACCATTCATTGGAGAATTTGTAGGAAGCTGAAAAGTGTAAATGTGTTTACATATATACATAAAAAGATGTTCATACATAAAAGTAAGAAACCATTTGGCATACCTCATCTTCTTCACCGCTGCTCCCATTCAAGCTTACACCATGTTGTGGACTATTCGTTCGCGAATTGAATGGTGAATTTGGGTGCGATTCGGCCAGCTCACGCATACCCGGTGCAACCTTATCCAGTTCCTCTAAATTTATATTGTCCAAGCCACTAATGCTACCAACAAAGTTTTGTACGTTTTCGGTGAATGACATCGTTTCAATAATTTCACGCAAACTATTTACGTAACGTTCCATTGCTTGATGCTTCTCTAAGTGTCGATTATCATTCCAGGCATCCCATTTCGCTTTGCCAACCACATCCCAGAAGCCAGGACGCTTTTGATGACACGGACCTTCTGTTGCTTGCTTATAGTAACCGTAAAATTTGAGCATCATGGCGGTGCTGGGTTGATATGGGCCATTTTTCGGCAACCCTTTGATCACATTGACGGCGGCTTGAAAACGCTCCTCTATAGAGGCCATTGTATCGGCAGTAATTTTGTTGCAAAGTAATAAGGCGTTTCTAGTTAGCTTTAATATACTGGAAAAAGTGAAAAATTTTAAATAGATAATGCTTGGTTAATATTCAACTACATGAAATAAATTATTAAAGAAATAACTACGTTATCAATGAGATACAATTAATCTACAATAGCACAATAATATGTGTGTGTGCCGTAATTTTAGGTACTTCAAATAAATGCATAAAACTCGAAAAAGTTAATACAAATTCTGTAATCAATTGAGGCATGGGATTAAAGTTCAATAAATAACATTAATATCTGGAAAGTCGTTAAACTTTAGATTACGCTGAAAGCTATCAGACACATACTAAATATGAAAAATATTGCCACGCATATACTAAATACAAAAATATTAGGAGACAAACTATTTTCAGAATATAAATTACACGAATTTCAAAGTATGCAGGTGTGAAAAAACTTGCAAATAAGTTCAGCAAACTATACTTGTTTAAAGTGCACAATCATATAGCGGAAACTATATGTACATTCTCTATTAAGCTTTAAGTCCGAATCCGGCAAGTTACGCACTGTGTTCCAATAGTTTCAATACCTGCTGTTGCAATTAGCTTTTGTTTTCTACATTAATTCGTTTTGTTTTCTCTATGCACAATTTCTTCACATTCAAATGTATTAAACAATATGCTAATGTGTTAACGACCTTTGGTATAGCGCTGAAATCACTTTTTAAACTTAGTAAACGACCTTTGTTCCATCCTACCGTTTCCGCTCGATAATATTACTAAATACTTAAGTGGTAGTGGAACTACATATATTTTTACATGCCTACATGTAACGTGTATTACCTTCTATACTAAACTCTAAAACTGTTTGCTGGAGGCACTCCTTAGCACTTTTCATCTGTAAAGATTAGTTATTTTCAAAATTCCATCGAAATGCCTTAATACATTCAGCGAACTTTCTAGCTCGTTTTATGCTATGCATAATTTATTAAATAATATCGTGAAATATATTTGGTTAATTACACTTTAGGCATAGTCGTATGATTTCTTATTAACAATAGAAACTTCGCATTTATACATACTTGATATTATTGTGTATAAATTAGTTTCCACTTTGTTTAAATTATATTTATAGATTTTTATAGTTTTAACTTGTACTATATATTTTCCAACTAGCCTAAAACTTGTAGAATAATTATTATAATTTCTCTTTCTGACCAAATAAAATTGCCTTTGTTTATTTCTGTTATCACTCTTTCTTTCAATCATAGGGTTGATTTTAATACATCAATCAAATGTTTAACAAGCATAATATCAAGCAAGTGTTGAAAATAATGTATTATTAAATGAATTAAATGATTTCTGAATATTAATATGCGCTAATAATAAAAGAATCACTAAATAATTTCGATTATTTTAAATAACTTTTTTGTAGACATTTTCCCAATAAAAACTAAACCCCATATGGTATTAAAGTTTTCAGTTTCACTTTCATCGTTCCCCTCAATCTTGAAATCCACAGAAATCCGCGCATTCTTCTTTCGCTTTTTCATTCGTGTAAATGAATTGATCGAGTTAACAACGCGTGAAGTTTTATTTCGCAATCCGTGTATATTTATTGATAAAAATATATCACCAATAAAAATTTGCAATTGCAAAATTGTTAGCAATTTTTTAAACTCGGCGAACGCAATAATTTTTCGCATTTCACAAAGTTGTTAAAAGCTAGTGTGACACGCGGTGACGAACGACCTTGTGAAGTTCGACAACGAAGTAAAATACCTACTTCGGGAAAATATTTCACAATAATTATTTTACGAAACCTAATTATACAGGTGCAAACATTTTAAAACTTTAAACAAAAGAGCGGAAGGTACATGTAATAGAATTAACACAAATTTACCTGTTATTGAATTTTTCGCGTTAACGCCCCTCTTCGACGCGGAGGTGGTTCAGCTGGTCGATACGAAGATTACATTCTGCCATTTCTGGGTAGTGCGGTGAATAAGTCGGATCGGTTATCTGGTGGACAAACAGAGACAGAATTTATCAGCAACTCGAAATTTGCGATTAATCATGAAATTTGTTGCAACAACAAAAGCACAACTACAACAACAAAATAAAAAGCATTATTCATTGAAATTCACTGAAGCTGAGCAAGAATCGAAACATATAAATAATTTTCACGCGGTCAATTTGGGAACATTGAACAACGTGAGTTTGTGTAGTGCAGTGAAATTTGCGAAAGTAAAAAATCAACAACAAATAAACGAATATAAAAAGTTTTCTACTATTTATAAAAATTGGAAAAATCAAAACTTTTACATAGCTACGTCTTGATTAAGTGCAACTTTAAACAAATTCACCCCTTCAAAAATTAATTGGATTTAAAACCCCAAACCTATCAACCTTTGAAAATTAATTAAAAAATAAATAAACAATTTTGGACAGTTAAAAAATAAAATTTAAGTGCATAATCAAATTTACAAGGAAAACCTTTAAAATTTATACAAGTTGTAAAAAGTGACCAAATAAATATAACTAGAAATATCGCAAGTTAAATATAATTAAAAAAATACCACTTAATTTCAAATAGGCGCGTGAAAAAATAGTGTAATAACAAAACACTAAATAACCTCGTGCTTGGCTGTCAATCCTTTCAAAAAGACTCAACGCTAGTCTCTTGCAGTCAGTCGTTCATCATTGTTCACGCTTTGTGCTGCACCTCCGTAGAGGAAACAATTGAAGAAGAGTCAGCAAACGTGCGCGCCAACCTCTTTCAAAAGCGTATAGGAAAGTATCGGTTACTGTAAAAGCAGCAAGCAGATAACATAGAAGAACAAGGCGCTACAACAGGCATAATTAATTAGCTTCTATCTTTGGCTTCGCATCCGGGATTTCATTTATCAATTTTAACCGATAAACAGAGGTATTTAGTCAAAAGAACGACGGGTATTGTAACTGGTAATACGATTGCTACCAACTCTACAACGGCTTCCTTGTGCTCATTCAAAATTTCCGCTACATCGCCTAAATCTAAACGCAAGACGTCGAATAAAGACAAAAAAATGCCGCGACGCAACAAGAAAGGTGGCAAAGGTAAGTGAAATAATGCAAATATCAGAATTCAATTAGTATATTTAAAATTTTACATGCAAGTGCTATCCTGTTCTGCGCAAATGTGTTTAAAATAGCAAAAACAACGTAATGTAATAGTGGTGATAAATAAGAAATTCGCAAAAATACGTTAAATCGTACTTGTGATGGAGATTCTCACTAGCAATATATACAAATATGCATATGTATGCGTATAGATTAATTTAACAACCCGTTTGTGCCTGAGTTCACTGAGTTTCAAAAAATAATATTATGAAAATTAGTAAATCAGCTTGATCGCAATAGTTTTTGCTTTCGTAATGATTCATTATAAGCAGCAAGTGCAGTGGCATCGTGGGTAACAATCACGTGGCAAATTTTAATTACGAAGTATATAATAAAAACATTTATTATTTTCGCACAAACAAGCTTTTCGCTTCATTATTAATGTGGTTAAAATGAAAAAATGTTATATTGAAAATCTTGTTTCAAGTAATTTCTTTATTTGCTAATAATTTTTCGTATGCAAATGTTGTGAAAATACATTTTCTCTTTTGTTTCGATTTACTTAGTACTATGAAATTTAAGTGCACACTTCGGGTGGATTTCAGGGCAACAATCCAATTAAATTAATCTCAGCAAATTAGTACATATAAGTAAAAAATGTCGCACAGAACACAGTTTTTAAAGCACCATATTTGATTCATACTATTTTCAAACCGAAAGCTGTCAATTTTTGAGACGTGCTGAGTGTGTATTTTATTTGCTAATAATGAATTTGTTCTGTAAGAGAGTGTACTTGCTTTTTTTATTGTGGAAAAAGTTTATGAGTATATATTTTTTTTGTGTTTTCTGCAAACGAAATATAAATTTTTACATACACATACGGTTATAAATGTATGCACATAGTAGATTTCTCGTTACATTCTTATCTTTTGATTATTATTGTGTCGTAATAATCACTAGCGTTTATATTCTTTTATATATTAATGTACGTATGCACGTGTTTAGTGTGTCTATACAATTTTATAAAAAAAATTTTCAATGCCAGCCAACGAAGCAACAGTTCGCTTTTATCTGTGAGCCAGTAGCGCATATATCATATACACACTTTGCCAACACGCTCACGCAGATTTTAATAAAATTGATATATACTGAATGTAGCATGTGCGTACATATATTTATAGGTTTATGTATGTACAAAATAATTATACACTATTTTACGTCCAAAGTTCAGCTGTGCTGGCACATTTGTATGTATTCGAACGTATTTTTGTTTGTGAAATCAGCTGGTTTGTGCCTGCGTATCGCACATGGCAAATGCGTGAAACATGTATGCATACAAATGTACATATATCTAAATATATATATGTAGGATACATAAGATAATGCACGTGAATGGCTTATAAAATATATAATTTCTATTTATTTTTTACTCTCAAAATACACATGTTGGCACTTACAAATATTCTCACGTCTCTCCCTTCCTCTCCCTTTGCATTAGATAATACTGTATACATTGTTTATAATTTAGCTGATAGCAAAAAATCATATATTCTCCACGAGAACAAAATAAACTTTTTGAAGTTGCGATAAGCGGGTATCTTCAAGTTAATTTCTGCAAATAAAATAGAATAAAATAATAATAATAAATAAACATAATAATAATAAATAAACATAATAATAATAAAT